TAGTAACGTTTAAAACAACCTGATATATTTCTATAATTGGTACCCCCCCCCCCCAGTTATAGATTGGTAAACAAAAACGTCACTCTTCCTAAGCTTATGTATAGGTATGTATGTATAAAATGGATTATCAAATAAGACAAGTAGTATTATTAGTGGCGTGGAAATCTGTCAGTCGTTCCACTCGCAGAGTATAAATATTGTGTGGAATTTGTAGTAGCATTTGGTTCATAAAATTTGGTTAAACATTTTGATAACGCGAAACTGACAGTCAAAACGATAACTATCTGAAACCTAGTATATTCTTCTCTCTTCTCAACATATCTTTTTGTGCTATATTTGAATAGGATAAAAACAACAATAATAAGACCTCCTGGTAACTCAGCGACAAGATGTCCCATTGTCTGGCTTAGTGCTTCGTAAAACAAAAAATAAGTAACCAATAAAATTAATTTTAAGATATCACGATTAATAGCATATATGTTAAACTGGAACATCGGAAAGTTCTCTCTAGATATCTTATCATAATAATAATAATTGTCCAACTAGCTTTAGCATGAGAGCAAAGACATATTCTTACAAGGGGTAATTCTCATAGTTCAGAATGACTGCCAAACATTTAAAGACAGGAGCCAATTTGGGAGTGGCTGGTATATTATCAGTTTGTTTATATTGTGATTATCAGTAGTCCATTCAAACACCCTTCTTCAAAAAAAAAAGAATAACAAAATAGTGTGATGTATCAGATAATTCAGAGTTTCCCGATATGGTTGCTTGCACGCCATCCCTTCTTTTTTTAAATGAGTGAAAGAGTGTGTTAAGTGACGAGATATAATACACAGATACACATTAAAATACTACAAGTGTTGTAGTAATTACTTATTATTTTAATTAATAAAAATATATTAAAACGCTAAGTTTACATTATTGCACTATTGACTTTTATTCTAATCGATCCCCCTCCCCCTGTATTTTTGGAAACGCCGAGGTAGTGGATGGGGTTGAACATACTTCAAGTATAAACAAGATATTCCTCACTTAGTGATTTCTGCCCTTATCTTAGCCCAACCCTCGACATATTTTCAGATTTAGGAGCCAGGTCCAACATAACAATATTATAGAATATATTTTGAGTCGGTTGTGTGGTTATGGTTCGAGATATACAGTTTTACACTAAAAAACAAATGGTTCATTATTAAACTTTATCATATAACATATATTAAAGTTAAACTTCAATATGTGCAATTACTAAAATAATAGACTAAATAACTATAACT